ACAGCGGAAGTCACGTGACGCTAGTAACACGTCATTATATTCTCGAAGGTTCGTGAATGCTCGAGTGTTTACTAGATGTACGGTATTCTTGTATATAAGACCGCCAAGAAGTGATGGCAACAATGGAATTTAATTGCAGACAGAGATAGAGACGGACAATTGAGTCAAGTGCGTAAATCGTTCGTTGTGAATTATAGCGTTTGTTTAAGTTATAGCATGACTGTGGAAATTAAGTGTATTGGAAAGTTGTATTGAGAAAGAATAAACCAGTTTTATTTAAGAAAGGTCTTGTATCGCTAAAGTTTCTTCGGAAAGAATTTTTACGGAAAATTAACAAACGAACACAATATATTAAGCTAACAATGCCGAAATAATGTCCACAGCTGTCGTTCGTGTTTGTGTACTGGATTATAGACCTGACGGTCCATGGCTCGCATCCAGTTGTCACACACGCACACACACAAATATCGCGTTCTGCACTATTCGATTATGAATAGCCTAATACTTGGTGGTGGGTATTCTTAATTGGCTGTCTTTGGTCTTGTCTATCAGCTTAAAATTAGGGACGGCTAACGCAGAAAAGTTATTGCTTATCTTTGCGCAAATACATGAAAATAAACAGCATAAATCTAAAACAAATACTAATAGTATGCAAAAGTAGCACTGTCATCAATAATATTAATGACACTAACTTTAAAGAGCAAATATCATTTTGTGTATTTAGTTGTTTAAACGTTTCACATAAAAGCGTTTTAGTATATTAATAAAATTTAATTATCTTTGTTTGTTTGAAGTTAAGCACAAAGCTACGAAATGGGCTATCTGTGCTCTGCCCACCACAGGTATCGAAACCGGTTTCTAGCGTTTTAGGTCCGGAGACATAACGCTGTGCCACTGAGGGGGGCTTTTATTTATCTTATTAATATTAATTTCAAAGAAAAGCTTATAATAAGCTTCTGTAGAAAAGATGCTTGAGAACTGATGTTGGCATCATTAGATACTTTATCAGAATGTAGTGAGATGAACAAAATAAACAATCCTAAAACGTTGTTACAAAACATCCGAGGTTTGTTTTTACTTTCTCATTTTATTCACAATTTATGGCGAAACCGTGGTTGTGAATAAATGATATATTTCTTAAACGTACAATTGTCTTGTTTTTCCTCAATTCTGCAACTATGGAGAATAACCAACTACCGACGGTTTGAAGTATCAATGATATAACAGTAATTAATTATGCTTTTCAGTCTATTCGACTAATTAAAGGATTATACTATCTATTAAACATAACTGTAAATTCTTATATCGATATGTTAATCTCTAAATAATTCTGAGAATGCTTTTTTCTGAATTAATTCATTTTGATTAATCAGAAACCAGGGTACATTACATAATGACCCACCTTATGATTTGTGCCCCGCTGTTGGATGTTTGTATTGTGGCTGCAATAATTTTTTTATGAATTTTTATATATATATATATTAAAACACGGCGCATTTATACACAAAAAAAATTATTTAGAACTTTTATTTTTTTCACAATTTAATAGAATTATTGGATATTACTAGATAGTCTATTACTAGATGATTTCCGGATTATTACGCAATTTATAAGATGGTTATTTATTCAGGCTTACTTGAAATATAAGCATAAACAAAGTTAAAAATAACATTTTGCCAGTGCTCACTAGGCGTTTGGTATCGGATAGGTCCAGATGTACAATATTTGTTTTCAAATCAATACTGTTCTTCAGTGTTAGGAGATCAGTTTTGTTTTAGTAGTTTTTCTAAAAATTGCACAATATTTTCGACCTGATCTATAGCGTACCAAAATTCAGGTGAACATTGGTGCAATATAGTTTTGAACTTTGTAAATGCTTTAATTATTACAGATTTTAGACAAGTAAAAGTTTTAACTCGAAATACTGAAATTTTACTATAGTTATTATTTCTATTAGGATATTTTGAGTTACTTAGTATTTCTTCACGTTAATGCTTTCTTTCATCATGTAATAAGTAGTTGACCGTGCATTAACCTCCACCACAGTGTAATAACCAGTCAAATCAATGAACAAATATGCCCTGAGCAGAGTTTCAGCATATTAATTAGTGTTTAGATCAGATATGTTTCAACCGGTCTTTCCACTAACTAGAAAACAACTAAGGCACGTGACTAAAGAGGGCGTGAACAGTACTTAAAAGAGTGACAACACAATTCAGAGTCTTAGTGCCAACTGACCATTAGGCAAAACAACCCCGTGTAGAAGAGGTAAGCTTTTCAAATTTTACAGTTTTTTATAAACCCTAAACAAAAACACGTAATATGTATGTAGAATTATACAGGGACTTTTCTCTACGTTAAAATACTTATATTTGCGAGCTTCGTCCTCCTTCGTCTCTACGTAAGACGTACGAGGACGTACCGGTCGGTACGAGAGACCGGAACGGACGTACGACGAAACTAACTAAAGTTAATTTTA